GGCCGCTCCAGCGCGAGTCGAAGGACGGCAGAAATCGTTAAGCCTTTAACGATTATGATTAGATGTGATGCCCGGCGCCTTCTAAGAGGCAGCTTCCTTCTGAGAAGCCTTTCCCCCTCCTCCTACCCCCGTGTGCACGCCGAAGGGGGGTTCCTCCGTGCAGGGCTTCGCGGGAGACATCGGGGGGAAGGTCAGAGGAGGAAAACGTTCAGGAGGGACAAAAAAAACACGCACACAACTGATTGTATTCCCCAGAAAATATGGGAAAACATCGGAAGTGGGGGGGAAGACGACACTCCAACAAACATAGGGAAATACTGGGAATCCTTCGATTTGCTTTTATTCATGTGTGTGCTCCCTGGGCCCCTTCAAAGGTACCCCCTACCGCCACTCGTCCCTCGCTTTCCCCGTGTGTGGGGGCCTCGGAGGCCCTCGTCACCACCGCTGGATCCGCTCCGAAATCCTGGTCAGAACGCGCCCCTGCAGGAGCGTGTTTCTTTATTGCTTGGGGCATGCACTGGGGGCGCGCATCAAGAAACCATCTGCTTTCCGTCAGGATATCCTTGGTTTCTTCGCTCCGCGCGCCGCGCGGTGGCTTCCCGCGGCCAGGGGGAAGCGGCTGCGTTCAGGGTGCTCCAGGTTTCCCCTCAGGTGCACCTCGCGCGCGGGTTTTCAGGGTTGGGTTTCTTGCGAGGGTTTCTTGCGGCCGCGCCCGCCCGCACTGTAATGGGTAATGGGCATTATAGCCCCCGGCCCCCCTCCCCCCCTCGTCGCCTAAAACGTAGCGCCCCTCCCCCCCGTTGCACTCCTGGCACTGCCGCCGTGCGCACGGCGGGGGGGAGGCGTCACATTATACCCCCCTGGCCCTCCCCCCCCTATAGAATGCCCACTATCGCCGAAAATAAAGAAACGCGGTCCAGAGGTCTGGGGAGTAGCGGTTTTGGTACCTCCTGGTGCCCCCAAAGACATGGTATTCGTCGGTTCTCGGCGGTTTTCGCCCGCTCTCGGCGGCGTTGCAGCCTGCCTCGGGATGCGCTCCAGTGGCTGCGCCTCGCCGGGCGCGCTCCGGGGGTGCCTGGATCGTCCCGAACGGCCGCCAGAGGCCCTTACGTAAATCCAGGAGGAGGAGGAGCAGGAGGAGGAGGAGGAGGAGCAGGAGGAGGAGGAGGAGGAGGAGGAGGAGGAGGAGCGGGAGGAGGAGGAGGAGGAGGAGGAGGAGGAGGAGGAGGAGGAGGAGGAGGAGGAGGTGGGGCGGGGAGGGGGAGGGCGAGGAAGGGGCCGGGCGAGGAGGGGGGAGAGCGAGGGGGAGGTGGAGTGGAGGAAGAGGCACCGATACCGCTGCTCGTTCTTGAACACCTTCGTCGCCACGGTTGGGATCTCCTCGAAATTCTGATTGCGGCTCGCCCTGGGATAGGGCCAGGGAGGAGGAGGAGGAGGAGGAGAAGGCGGAGTACGAGCAGGAGGAAGTTGGGAGCAGAAGGAGGGACGGGAGGGGGAGGAGGGGACTGGGATGGGAGGGGCGGGACAGGGAGGAGTTGGAGGGGGAGGAGGGGGGGACGGGGACCAGGGGCGAGGAGGGAGGAGGTGGAGGAGGAGGAGGAGGAGGAGGACCAGTGTAAACTCACGAGCCATCACCGATGTTCAACGATGTTGGAGTACACCCTCCCTCCAAGCTCTCGCTTCATAGGCTCCTTCAATGGTTCATGTTCACTTTCACTGAGGGAACTGCCTCGTTGGAAGGCAACCATTTGAAGACCCTGGAGCATGCCAACACATAGCTCTCGGGATTCCAACGCCACGGCTGAACGTGATTGTTGCGTCTTGACGATCCTGGATAAAGCCAGAACGCCATTCTTAGGGTTTCACCTCGCGAATACACGTAACTGTTGCGCCTACAAAATCCGGAATCCTTGCAATACACTTTCTGGTACGTTGATCATGGTGACCCGTGAATTCTTCCAGTTTGTACAAACGAATATGCGCGGCACTAAGGCGAGAGCCGCATTTTGTAAAGAAACCGCCCTCAATCCGCGGAATTCTTGCAATTGTTTAAAACGAGTGTGCGCGGGTCTAAGGCGAGAGCCACGTATTGAAAACGGGTGATCTTCAAAATGTGAAGCTCTTGCAATTTTTTAGAATGAATGTGCGCGGCACTAAGGCGAGAGTCACATGTTTAAAACCACCCGCCCTCCATCTGTGAAACTGTTGCCACTGATTAAGCTTCAGAGCCATAAATGGTGAGGAAGTCTCATGCGAAACGCCCGGCCCGCCCTAAAAACTGGCCTCGGGGTGCGACAGGGAGAAGTTATTGATAAGGAAAAGGAATGGAGGAGGAGGAGGAGGAGGAGGAGGAGGAGGAGGAGGAGGAGGAGGAGGAGGAGGCGGAGGGGGGCGGAGCGAGGGCGAGGGAGGGGACGGGCCAGGAGGGGGGGGGCAAGGGGGAGGTGGAGGCGGGGCAGGGCCGAGGAGGAGGGCGCGCCGGGAATGCTCCAGCTGGCGTGGCGGTCGCGGCGGGGGCCTCCGGGGCAGCGGCGGAAGATGGGCGCGTGCGTGTGCATCGGCCAGTCCCGCTTCGTGGAGCAGGAGCCTCCGGAGGCGGTGCAGGACCGCGGGCCGGGAAGCGGGGCGGGGCGCCACAGGGGGGGAGGCAGAGAGGGGGCGGTAGGGTAGCATTTTGCGGGTGCTGTGAGATTCCGTGGTGATCGAGGCGAACACGTCGATCTAGCGTCGATCTAGCATCGGTCAGGACCGATCGGTTAGCGTCGGTCAGCGTCGAATCGCAAGACTTGGGAGGCCCTCGTGAGTTCCCACCGAAGGGCTGGCCTTCCCTGAGCTCCGGGCGTTTCACTCTGGGCGGTGTCGTCCATTGTCGGGCACCAGGACAATGAGATAGCGATGCAGCTGAAAAATTGCCGCAGAACGTTTTGGTTCTCGGGCTGCAGTTGTGATTTCTCGCGATGGTACAGTTGTTCGCCATGTCGGATCGTAAGGTTCTCGGGAGGTTCCTAAGGCCTCCAGCTTTCTCAGAGGCTTCCTAAGCCTTTTCCGAAGCCGCAGAGGGTCTCCCAGACGGCCAGTTTCCTGGGAAGGCCGCCGTTTTCTGGGAAGGCCCGCCCCCTGGAGCTTTCCCAACTCGGCACTCCGTTGGGTGTCAACGATACACTGCCTGTGTAAGCTGCGTCAGCGTGTTGCTTTGCCCGAGGGCCTTGCGCCTTCCTTCCACAGTAACGCGCCGCTGTGTTCCCGGTGGCGTGTCACCAGCACGGTGGCACACTGCATTGCTCGTGTTCACCGGGAAGTCCTACCCACCCGCAGATTTGGACGACGCCGACAAATCTGATGTTTGTTTGTCTTTTCCCAGCGTTTGCTGTCTAACTGTTTCTGTTGATAGATGTTTTTGGGAAGCCTGTGACCGCCCAACACAGCGACCCAGGACGAGGACCCCAGGCGACGTGGCCCAGAGTCTGCGTGGCGACGTTGCGCGCATTGGCGTGGCCCGATTCGGTTTTGTTTTGGCATCGCACCGGCGCAGCCCGATTGAATGCGTGCTCTGATTGTAGTGGCCTTCGGCCAGTGCCGCCGATGCGGGTCGCTCGGATACACATATTACGCGGACACCTCACGCACGCATACGACCAAATGCACATACGGCAGACACACATACAGAGACACACTAGGCGCACGCCAGATACTAGCACGCACAGACATTCGCAGACACGCACCACACACAGACACTCGCACAGGAGCCTGTCAGGGCGTCGAGGGGGCTTCTTGGGGGCTTTTGGGGGCCCTCTTGGGGGCTCTTGGGGCCTCCTGGGGGCCTCGTGGGCTGGAAGGCTAGATTTTTTTGCGCTTTTCGTCCCTCTTATGGGTCCTCTTGGGGCCGTCTTGGGGACCTCTTGGGCCGTCTTGGGTAGCTTTTGGGCCGCCTTGAGACCCTCTTGGGCCGTCTTGGGACTGTCTGGGGGCCTCCTGGGCCGTCTTCGAGCGGTCTTGGGGACCTCTTGGGCCGTCTTGGAGCGTCGGAAAGCCGAAAAAAGCGACAACCCCAAAAACATTTAAAAAAAAACCAATGGAAATCAACGATTTTTGCCTCTGGGGGCCCTCGTGGGAGGCCTCTTGGAGGCCTCTTCAGACGTCTTGGAAGGCTCTTGGGCCGTCTTGGGGCCATCTTGGGCGTGTTCGGGCGATCTTTCGGGATCTCGGGACTTTCGTAGACCGTCCCAAGAGACTTTTGCGGCCGCGGCCACCCTTGTAGCGCATCCTCGAGATTAGAGCCTTCTGTAAAAGCAGCCCCCCCGCATCCGCCGGAAACTCGCACCCCCCCCCATCCCCCCTTCCCCGGCAGAGCCACCCCGGCAACCCCCCCAGAGGCTGAGCCTCAGCCTCGAGGCTGTAGCTGAGACTCCTTGAAACTCACACGCCGGATCGGCGGATTTGCGGCTTCCAGATTCCATGCTGACTTATGATTGCCCCACCACCACCACCACCGCCCCCATCACTCCACCCTTTCCTTCCCTCGGAAGAAGAGAAGACTGCCTGGCAATGGACTTTGGGAGGTGTGGGGGAGTTTCTCGGGTCGGCGCTAGGGCTCAGCCAGCCGGTGAGTGACTTAGCAGGGCAAGCAATATTCCTTTGGTGCAAGCATTGCTTGTGGAGCATTACCATTCTGCGCTTTGCAATAGATGGTATAAGCCTCGTTATTTGGCTGGACGTCGTTCCTCGTCCCCCCTCACCCCTTCTCTGGTCCTTCTCTGGTCCTTCTTCCGCCATTGTCCATTCCTGCCATATCCCTCATGTCTCTAACCCGCCCATTGGAGGGGGGGAAACATGTGTACATTGTGAGACAGCCGTTCCAATAGATCGTTTCGGGAATCGTCGCGTGGCAGTTCCCGTGTCGCACCGTAAATCCCGCTACCACCGAAAGGAGCACGACCGCAGGGGTGGCGGTGCTAGCAAGAGCAACGTGAACATCAAACATCTCAGCATTGACAAGTTCTATGACCTTCAGGGTCTGCTGGGCAAGGGATCATACGGCACGGTGCACCGCGCGACGCAGCGAGCGACTGGAAAGGTATCGAACGGCGTTCGGCCCATCCCGCCACCGCGCCCGGGTTGTGGGTATGAAGCTTATTGCATGTTCGTTGGGCCTCCCAGGTGTCTCTTGGAGGCAGTGTGGAGGCCTCTTGGGGGCCGTTTTGGAGCCTCTTCGGTGCTCTTGTGGGCCTCTTGGGGGCCTCTTGGAAGCCTCTTGGGGGCCTCTTAGGGGCCTCGTAGGGCCTCCTGGGGGCCTCTTAGGGCGGAAGGCTCAGATTATCGGTTCGTTTTCCCTTCTGTTTGGCCCCTTTGAGGGCCGTCTTGGGGCCCTCTTGGGCCGTTCTGGGCGCCTCGTGGGCTGTCTTGGGGCATTCTCAGTCCATCTTGACACCCTCTTAGGGGAGCTCTGTGGCGGCCTCTTGGAGAACTCTTGGGGCGCCCTGGAGGGCCTCGTGGGACCCTCTTGGCCCGTCCTCGGGCCCGCTCGGGTCCGACAGCGGTCTTGCGGTACCGCTTCCCGGAGCTCCGGGGGCACGTGGGAAGCCCCCCGTAGGTTTGAGGATCTGGGGCCTGGGCCCCTTCAAGGCCTCTTCAGGGGCCCCTTCGCTGCACTTCGTGGCCCCGTTGCAGCCCTTCGTGGCCCCCTCGCTGCCTTTCGGAGCCCCGTTGCAGCCCTTCGTGGCCCCCTTGCTGCCATTCGTGGCCCCGTTGCAGCCCTTCGTGGCTCCCTCGCTGCCCTTCGCGGCCCCGTTGCACCCCTTCGCGGCCCCCTCGCTGCTTTCGTGGCCCCGTTGCAGCCCTTCGTGGCTCCCGCTCGGGCTGCAGGGACTGAGATTCTCAAATCAGGGACAGCCAAGGGACCCCTTGCCCAAGGGACCTTCTCAATTCAGATTCTCAAATCAGGGCCCCTGAGGAGGCTTCTTCAGGACTGAGGGCTCAGGCTGCAGGGGGGAGGCAAACGACCCGAGGACACGCCCACTCCGCGCCCAGAGGCACGGTTGCGGATGCGCCGTGAAGTGCCTCAGGGCGAGGTACAGTTCAGAGTCGCGGCGCTGGAACCAAGAGGTCGAGATCATGCGGTCGCTCGACCACCCCAACATCGTGAAGCTGGTGGAGTCGTTCCAGGATAGGAGGAACATGCATCTTGTGGTGGAGTTGTGCACTGGGGGGCAATTGCTGTCAGGTGTGGTGACCAAGGGAGAGCTGTTCTCAGAGCAGAAGATGGCAGCGGTGCTGCAACAGATCCTGCGAGGCACGCTCTACTTGCATTCGTGCTGGATTGCTCACAGGGATCTCAAGCCAGAGAACCTACTGTTATCCAGTGACGCCGCCACGAAGGACACCGCAGTAAAGATCATAGATTTCGGTCTTGCTCGCAGGTTTGCCGCGGGGGAGGTGCTCAAGACGATGGTTGGGTCACCCGTCTACGTGGCACCCGAGGTGTTAAACGGTAAGGGCTACGATTCGCAATGCGATATTTGGAGCATCGGGGGAACAGCTTTCGTACTCGCATGTGGTCATGTGCCGTTCACGGGCAAGACAGAGAAGAGCGTGCTCGATAAAGTAGCGAGGGGGATCCCTTGTTTCTTGCCTGCGCATTGGAGGCGAACTGGAGGACGCCAGCAGGGCACCAGCACCCAGCCAGGCCAGGCCGATCCTCGGTCCAGGATTGGTGCAGTTACTGTTACAGGGTGTTGTTTGGCGATCGCTCCTCCTCCCTTCCCCCCTCTCCTCCTTCTCCTTCTCCCTCCCCTCCTCCCTCATCCTCCATCCCAATCCTCCTCACTCTGTCCTCCTCCTCCCCTCTCTCTCCTCCTCCTTCGCCCGTTCTCCTCCTCGCGCCCCCCCCCCCTCCCCCGGCTCAATACAGAACTGATGCTCCGCAGACGTCGGGTGGTGCGCGTTGCCAGAAAGCCACGATCGTGCAGCGCGGGAGCGGCCCGCGCGGGTGTCAAGCGCCAGCGCCGCTCGCGTCGCGGCGCGAGCCCACCTCACCGTGCATCCTGATGACTTGCAGTTGCAGCGCCGCCGGCCACGCGCAGAGTGGGGTTAGGGGGAGGGGGGGAAGGCTTCTTAGAAGGATGCGCTGCTTCTTAGGAGGCGCCGGCCTTGACTGTGGATGTAGGGCTGGCGCCTTCTCCTTCTGAGGAGCAGCCTCTTTCTAAGAAGCCTTCCCCCCTCCCCCCGTACCCCCATGTGCGCGCCTCCGGCAAACATGCAGTCAATACTTCCAAGTTGGGACCGTTTTGGGTTCGAAAGGGGCTGTGATGCTTGAGCCGTTCCTCAGATTCATGTCCGGGAAGGGACGGAGGAGGAGGAGGAGAAGGAGGAGGAGGAGGAGGAAGAGTGGGAGGAGGAGGAGGAGGAGGAGGAGGAGGAGGAGGACGAGGAAGAGGACGAGGAGGAGTACGAGGACGAGGGGGAGGAGGACGAGGAGGAGGACGAGGACGAGGACAAGCACGAGGACGAGGAGGAGGAGGGGGAGGAGGAGGAGGAGGAGGAGGAAGAGGAGGAGAGGAGGAGGGGGGAGGAGGAGGAGCAGGAGGAGGAGGAGGGGGAGGGGAGGAGGAGGAGGGGGAGGAGGAGGAGCAGGAGGAGGAGGAGGGGGAAGAGAAGGAGGGGGAACAGGAGGAGGAGGAGGAGGAGTACCAGCAGGAGGAGGAGGAGGAGCAGGGGGAGGACGAGGAGTGGGTGGAGTGGAGTGGTTGCCATCACGATGTGATATCCAAAATCACTGACTACCCGATGCCCTGGCTGCCTGTTGAGCTCGGGTAAGCGCTTTAGGCCATTCACCTTGCTCCAACCGTCGGAGATATTTTCTTCTGGTGGGGTTCAACTGACCAGTGCAAAGCGCTTTTAAACCAATGGAGAGACGCTCATTAAAATAGAAGCCACACGAAGTACAGTGCCAAACCTTCAAGTCAGTCTGAAACGCCATGACATGCTCAGGCCACCCAACCCCCTACAGAGATGCAAGGGTTGACCAGCAGACAGACGCAAGACACCTTGGCTCTCTGGAGTGAGATCGAAGCGAGGGGTCAGTCGCCACTCAGTGGCAGCGTCGACCGTGGCAGACCCGTGGCATCTGAGACATCTGCGGCCGCCCGGTCCGAGGCAGTGGCCAGAGTGGAAAAGAGAACGGGCGGCAGAAGAGGGAGGGGGGGGAAGGGGAGGAGGCAGCACACACGCACGCGTACACGCAAGCAGACGTACAAACTGTCCCTCCGACGTGCAAATGCACCAACACGACGCGACAGCAATGGCGAACACCCACACACACACACACACTCTCTCTCACACACACACACACGCGCACTCTCTCTTCCGGGGCGGCTCCACGGCGGCCCCGTCCTGGGCGCCAGCTCCGCGTCCGCCGCGTCGCCGCCGACGCCGAGGTGCTGCCCCTGGGTTTTGACTTGGAAGCCTCGGGGGCAACGCGCAACAACCGTCGTCGTACAGTGCCGTTTTTTCTACATGCTCCGCGTGCGGATCATGTATTAAACAATGCAGGGTTTGGTATTAAAAACGAGGAGTTGATGCATACGTTTATTCATACATGAATCATGTATTTAAAATCCTATATGTTTGAAAATCCCATCAGCAAAATCATGTATATATTTACCATGTACAAGCAAAGCATCTGTTTCAACTTGCCAGCCCTTGGCGCGATGGGAAAGTTCCAAGCGACAGCGATTAGCAGCCTCCCCCGCAAGCTCGTCAGCAACCAGGTTGCCTGCAATCAGGAGCCTCGGGAGATCTTTCTGGATGAACTGTCGGGGGGGGCATGTGGGAATATACCTTCAAAACTGCAGCCTGTGACGTGTCACGTTCGGAGTCTTGAATGACAGTACGTCTGGAATCCCACGTGCCGATATTATCCCCAGCAGGCCGTACGTACAGCCCGTTGTGCCACCCGTCGCACACTCCTGAATTGTCAGTGGTACAGATCAGGGATCCTCGGGAATGCCGAAGGGCCAGCAAGAGCTCATGGAGTTCTCCTCTGGGAAAAGTCTGCTTTCTTCCTGGAAAGGGGTCCAAGGATGCCAGCTCGAACGGCGGGTGGATCGTACGACGCCGGAGACTGCTGCAACTCCTGCTCTCCTGAAAGCGGGCTCGCGCGCATGCGGCCCGCCAGGTGCAGCGCCACAAATAAGGATTGGGTTGCCGGCAGTACCAATGCCTAGAGTAGTGTCGGTCAGCTCCACAGCTTCGCTGTCACTACCTCCAACCTCATACCATGCGGGAACCGCAAGGCCACGCAGCCAGACGCAAGCTTCGCTTTCTCCTCGGGCGATGGCGGCAGGCAATAACTGCTCGGACTGCTGGGGAGCCTTGTGCACTCTACAGTTACTATCACACAACCGCACACGATGCAAAGCTGTTTCAGGTTTAAGATGACAACGAGGACAAATATTACTGATACGATGCCTAGTCTCGTCGACGACACGCTGACGGGGCCAGGACCCACCAGTGGTTGCGTTCAACATCGTCTCGGCAAGTCGATGTCCATGCCTACACTGCCGCAAATTGCGAATCAACCGGCGCAAACTGACGTTGTCGATACCTCCTGCCGATCCTTCCCCACAATAGTGTCGAGCAGCGCATGCCCAAGCTAAATCATGAAACGATTGTTGAAATTCATCGAGCATTTCACCTGTGTCTTCGAAGCCTGTGTCTTCGGGCCTTGAACTTGGCGAGAAAACTGCGAGGGTAACATATTTTGAAGAACGCCAGCAACTCGGGGCCAAGCTCGTCGAACCAGAGGGCGAATCTGAGGAAACCCAAACCAGGTGTCGAGCCAGAACTTCGTGGTATCCCTGGGGAACTTGGCGAAAGGATCGGCCCCTGGTGTCCGTAAATCCAATCACGTGGCACGACAACGACCTTGACGCCTGCGGAACCCAATGCGGTGGGAACCGAAGGATCCGTGGACTCGATGTCGGTATGATCCTGCCGCTCATGCTCCTGCTCCCTCCAAACGGCCAGTGACATCGTAACGCCTGGATGCCCGGGCAAACTTACATATCTTGGCGGTCGTCAAAGTGGCCTTGATTACTCTCTCGCGCCTGAAAGAGCGAGCAGGGCGCCCAGCGCCAAGGCCCACGCCGAGGTACTGTGCTCGCAACGCGCTGTGGACCACATAGCCCGCCTTCTTGAGCCGCGCGGCAACGTGCTTCCCGTCGCTAGAATTCGAGCAAGCCACGACACTCTTGGGAGCTGCTTTGAGCCCCGCATCACAAAGTTCGTCGCACGTATCCCGAAGGCACCCGAATGACGTAGCACGAACAACCTTCCTGGATCCAGTAACTCTTTGGTAAAAGTCGTCCGCCCAAATTCTCATGGATGCCCTTGCGTTGACGGCGGTGATTTTAGCCAGGATAAAGTACACCATGCACCTTCCAAACCGGGTCCCACTGCGTAGCCCCTGAACGATCTTGCGAGACGGTGGGACAGCGCAAGAAAAAAACACCCGTCTTGGGCAAGAGTGTGAGGAGCGATGTAATTCTGAAGTTCTAGACCGAGAACCGCAGCTGGGACATGCGTCCGAAGAGATGCGTCGACCAAAGCTTCCCAGGCCATCGAATCGTAAATCGCATCAACATCGATAAGGCCCGTGTCGGACTCAATGCCCATGCTCATGCAAGCTGCATCTTGCAACGCTCGAGTGAAGGCCTCGCGCAACGCGGAGTTGCTTCTGATGGCGGCGTCCCAAGTTGGCTCTGAAGAGGAGGTCCAGAGGCGAACATCTTCTTCGCGAGCCAATGGCCATACTCTCGTGAGCATGGCCATCAGCCCGATCACCCTGTCGCCTCCAGACTTCTTCCCCAGGGGCCTACCTATGACTAGAAGAACTTGCCATGGCCAAGTAAGCCGCGCTTCACATGCCTGCAGGAACTGAAGAAGCTGGAGCATGCCTTCGCGTGGAAGCCGCTGCATGTCGACAGGGGACAACTGGGCGACTCCTTGTCCAGCACGAGCTTTCGTACTACGAACTGCGGCGTCCACTCGATCGCAAGTGAGAACTGCGAGAGGATCGCCATCGGCTGCAGCGCGAACCCGATCAAATAGCTGGCCTGAAGAGTCAAGTGAGACATCGCCTGGGCTCCAAAGACTGTGCCAATGATTGGCTTTTCGATTAAACACATCCTTGAGGCGAAAAGGCACTCGATATTAGGGCGGGGGGGCTTCAAGCTTTTGTGGGGGACCTCGCTGGCCTCAGGAGAAGACGTCCATTCCCGAAGCTATCGGGGAGAACTTTGGGGGCCCCGCCGCCTGGCTCGCGCTGCCGCGCGCTTAGCACTGCACGCAGCCGCTGCACTGTAGTAGTGTCGATTGACTGCACGTGCAGTAGCTGAGACTGCCGGATTGACCAAGCCTCATCTGCTGGGTCGAGAGAGGCGAGAGGAAGATGCACAGAATAGGGCACATACCCCGCGATGGCGGTGCAAGCTTAAACTAGCCGAGAGCGTTGGTCTTCCCCATTCCTTTTAGCCGCATGATGGCAAAGGCTCTGAAGTACAGTGTGCAGCCGCCCCCGTCAGCAAGCAACCTGCCCTTGCAATGGTTCCGGCCGAACCTTATCTGGCATATGAAGTTCGGCTTCGTGAAAAATTGCCCCTGTGCGCGAGGCCGACGTCGTGCCGGACTGCCGTGGTGCGCGGCAACGGCGTGCTCGACCGTGCTGGCCCACTGTGCGCGCGTCGCGCCCGCGCTCATGATGTGCTCGTGTCACGCGTAGAAAGCAGCCGAATCGCGAATCACCGACCACGCTTCGGCGGAGCTCCCAATAGGTATGTACCCGAAGTTGCGTCCGGCTATCTCCCAGGACTCGTCAGCGACAGGGAGGCCAGGAAGAGGAGGAGAGGGGAGAGAGGAGGGCTGACTAACAGGAAGACTGCTATCTACGATAAGACGATCGGGGACTGGTGGGGGACTGACCTCGAAGGTTGACTCTTGGGCTTCTTGGCCTAAGCGAAATTCCACATCCTGCGACTCGGACATGGGGGGCCCCCGCGCAACCCCGAGAGGAGGACCCAACGAGGATGCGAGCGAGAGAGGGGCCCCAGGGAGACCATTGTCGTCGTCCGAGTCGTCCTGGAGAAATTGGTTCGAGGGCCTTCCTGCCTCTCGCTCTCGTCATTTCAATCGCCAAACAGGTCCTGACTGGTTTCTTCGGCCGCGCACCTAGCAGCAGCTCGCTCGGAAGCTGCTTCGGCACGATTTTGACTGGCCTTGGGCCCGACCCGAGGAAGCTGCCTCGGCCTGGGCGCCTGGGGGAGTTTAGGCGCCATTCGGAGCTCTCGACAGACCAAACCAGCTGCTGATTGGCATTGCCGAGCACTAGAACGAGGCCGCAACTTGGACGCCATGGGGCGTCGAGCCGAGCTTCGGAACGCGAAATGAAAGGAGCACTGGCTCGGCTGGCTAGAACGTAGTCGATATGAGTACCTGGTCCTAGTGAG